TTAGTTTATAAAGCAAAATCTGTTTAAAAATGCACTTTTTATAAGATGCGCTATATATGAAATCGAAAAATCGAAAAATTGAAAAACCGAAAATTCGAAAAATCGAAAAATCGAAAGATCGAAAAATCGAAAAATCGAAAAATCTGAAAATCGAAAAATCTTAAAAGAAATTCCGTAACGAAAATAAACCTAACACCTCCCCACTCCGACCGGCACAGCGGGGCGGCGTTGAAAGCCGTGCATCGTTTCAGTTCGGCAGACTTCGGCACGGTGTTTGTGTGCGTGCGACTGGACGTATGCGTGTAGACTAGCTGCTAACTGCTCATAACTGATTCTATCTCTTTTAGACGCAATTTAGGAAAAATTGAATTTGAAAATGAATAATGATCCACAAGAATCCACAACAAAATATGGGACCACCATTGACGCGGTATTTTCCAGATATTTAGAGGATATCAAGTCTCAAACTTATGTTTCTTATTTCAGTTACCATTAACCTATAGTTTCATTGATAAAAATTCCTGAATAACCTAGATGTATTGTGAGATAATAAAAATAGTTTAAACAATATTAACTTCTTATTTATTCAATAAAAGAAAAAAAATTGTTTTCTTATCGGTCACTACGCTCAAAAAGTGTAACTTGAATCAATATCAAAGAAAAAAAATACAGCATAAATAAAATAAATAAAGAATTATAATTGCATAAGTTGATAAAAAATGCTATGCAATAGCTTTACCGCGGCAGTCCCCGAGTGCCACACGTATTTTTTATTTATTTTATTCGATTTTGCAATATTTTTTTTTTAGTTTTGATATTATAATCAAATGTATAGTAGCATAAAAATAAATATGAGTATGTTTTACAAGGAAGGGCTAAATACTATTGTAGGAGTTGATAAAGAGTTATAAGCTAAAGTTCATGTTGATAATCGACAATGAGAATTACACTAATAGCAAAAGTTTTTTCATATTTTGGTTGACTAAAACTTGTTTCCTTTCTTAAACGTTTGTGATATTACATTTTTTATTGCCTTTGCATGTGTTGATACTGACACCATAATCTGTAATAAAAAATAATCCAAAAATCACGTTAAATAAAATGGTATTTTACTGATGAAACTGATTCAAGTTCTGGAGGGTTTCCTTTTATTTTGAAATTGTTGCAATCTGTGTAAAAAATTAAACTTGAATAAAGAAAAACCAATTTATTTAACGGTACATAAATATGTATCTATAGATAACTAGACATAACAACATGCAATATCACATTGTTACGTACAAACGTAATGGTAGTTGAACTAAAGCTAAAGAGTTTGATACTTTCTATGTCACTATAGAAAACAATAATTTGCAAAATACAAAAATAAACATTTACATACAACATAAATTTTAATCTAAAGTATTCCAGAGGAGATTTGATTGAAATCTTCTAAGATCTGGAAATTAAAAAATAGAAAGTTATTAGTTTACTAGCGAAATCTAATCGCTCACACATATTCATTCGCACATCTAGCTCTGACACTTGCCAAGCGATAGCTTTGCATTCAGCGTTCTGAATCGCTGAAAGTATGAGAGGAATGGGATTTTCTTCAAGGACAGCTTCCATTATGTTTATGGATAATTGATGTCAACCGATTACTGATATAGGTGGCAATGATAAACTGGCAATGATACGGTGGCAGACGTAAAACTTGATGACCGTAACTTTCAATAATCTGATGCACAACAAAGGTTTTTGGTTTTGCGTGTATATTTGCCAAGCGTAATAATTCTGATTTTAATATATATTGAGGAAATGGTATATGTTCCTTTGTCAACCATTCTTTAATTTTATCAACAGTCCAAGAATTCGGTGGACTTTTGTTTAATACTTCAGAATGGTAAGGTGCATTGTCTAAAATAATTACCCTCTGCTCACTTAAACCTGGGAGAAGTTTTTCATGCAACCATTTTACAAACATTTCTGTTTTCATATTATTGTGTTACTGGATTTTGTTTTAGATGAAAATATTAAATCAGCACCTTCTATAAAACCCGATTTCCCTCCTGCATGTAAAATTATGTGTCGCTTCTCTTTTCCATCGGTATGTTTGATGGACTTTACGTTATCATCTTGCCATATTCTCTTGGTTGCACCCCTAGAAAATATCCATGTTTCGTCTAAATATATAAAATTCGCCCCTTCTTTAAATTTAGAATATTTTCTTGGAAAGTTAATTCTCTTGTGCACGACAGAACTTCTTTCACAAAGGGCCTTTCTGTTATCCTCCTTTTGAAATTTTAAACCCAAGTTATTTATCACTTGCCATAGACTTGTTCTGCCAATGTCGTCAAATTTTCTATCTATTAATTCCGAGAGAATTGTATTTAAGGTCACGTGTTCCTTGTTGGCCCTCATTCGATAAATGGTATCACGAATTTCAAATTTCTTTCCATCTGGAATATCTTTCGCTTTCAATGATGGGCGAGTTTTGCGGTGATCTTTTTTCGGCAGTTCACTATTGTGATTTTGTAATACTCCTCTTAATTTGGTTTCACTAATTCCTAGAGCATCGCATACGCGTTGTACAGACATTACCTTTTTTATCCGTAAAATACTTACCTATGTACACTACAAATTAGACTATCTACCTACATCTAACACACGTCTAGGCATTTTTAAAATTTCCACTAAATTTTCAATATACATACAATGTCAACACTTGCAAAGAATCAATTCAACTGCAATATTTGTAACAAATTTAGTACCTACCCTAATGTTATTTTAATTTAAATATGACCATTAGGGCAATTTTACTTAATTTCTTGGGAAGCGGCTTATTGGAACTGGTTGTCAATGACTAATTTGCATAAGTTTGTTAATCCGAAACCCTCGTAAGTATAGCGAACAGACTGTAAACTGATTTGTAAGTTTGCACTTATGGCCTGTGACAGGTAAAAAAAATTAGCAACCATTATTTGTTGTACAGCGCTTCAGTGCTTTCAAGGTCAAATGATGGCAATACCCATTTAAATCTTATAGTATATGGAGGGTAGGAAAAAGGAGGACAATCTTATATGGATCTTTATATTAAAAAGTGGCCACCAAAATGTATACAATTAAGATGGCGCTCGTGTAGCCAGGGGACAAAATCCAATGCTATATAGTCATATAGATTGCTCATTCATAAGAATTATTTATTGTTTATATTATTATTTTTCAATAAAAATTGACTATTGTCGTGTATTGTCAAAATTTATCTACGATCACAGAACACTTACTCTTCTACGATCAGTCACTTTTCACGGTGTAGTTTTTAGTTTTTTATGGTTGAGCAATATTTATTACTATATACATCATTGGTGTCATTGTGTGATCTGAATTATCGACTGTCGACGTCCCCTGGGCACAGAAGCGCCATCTTAATTGTATACATTTTGAGGGACACTTTTTGTATACAGAGATTGTTCTCCTTTCCTCTACCCTCCATATTTTAGTATGACCAATTTTACCCGAAGTCACCATGACTTCTCAAGTGCATTCTACTAAATGAAAAACGCTATAATCTTTGGTGAATAAACTATTAGCGTCAATTTGTGACAGTTCATAAGTTTGGTAGGAATACCCGAAAACCCTCGCCGTTGGGGATATAACATCACATTTCATATACGTACTTTGCAAAATAAGTTTCTATAATATAAAATAAGGTCATGGTATATACGTTTTGAGTGAAAAAAGTTATATTATTTACACAAAATTAAAATAAACCTTATGTTACTGACAAAATTGTTGCATAATAACAAGGATAATTATAAATTGTTAATGGATTAAACTTTTTTAATCTCTTGGCATTAAAAGTAACACTTCAGTACCTAAAATAAATTATTAAAAAAAAAAAAAGTTTATGTACTATCTTTAAAAGTCACTGTCTTCACTATGGTATAATTTTCATTGTCTTTTCTGAGGTTTATTATTATAGGATCCAGTGGCGGCTTGTGATAATTTGAAATGGGTGTTCACTTTTTCCAATACTTTTATCATTTTTGTAAGTTCGGTCCAAAACTTTGTACAAGAGCCAATATCGCTGTTTTTTTTATTATTTGAGTTTTTATTAAATGTGGTTATTATCAACATCATACTATTTTCAAGCACTATAACTATTAATAAATAAATATTTTAGTTAGTGTGATATTCGTTTTGTTTTTAATACTTTGAAAACCACCTATAAACATTATTAGTTAGTAAACTGACTTTTGTTTATAATTTGAGATTATAATTAAATATATATAAGGTTATGTAGAAAGCTTGACATTGATTTTTGTGTAAAAAATATTATAGGAAACTGTACCTACCATTTTTCAGTTTTAATTGTAAATTTAATCATTTTCACAATTTGTCACAGATGTCAAATAAAAAATATGTTTTTTAATAACCTTTTAAAATAATAACTTTTAAATAAAATAAGAACTAAAATGTTTCAAATGTTTATTTTATGAGATCAATCCCATCACAATACATACTATTACACAAATAAAAACTAGAATAAAGATATATAATGCCTGGCATTCTAAATGATACTCTTCGCAGTTTAACAGACTCCCTTAACTTCCCATTTTCTACCAGATTGTTTTCACAATCAATAGGCCTCATCTCCTTATAGGGCTTGATTTTTACTAAAAATTTCATGTTGATATCGCTTTTCATTTTTGTCTTTTTGTTTTTAATTTCAACCCCCCCCCCCCCCCCTTAAATCCCCCATATTTAATTAGATTTTTTTATAATTAAAGCCGCAGTGGCGGCTCGTTATAATTTAAAAAGGGCGTCCACAATTTTTAATTCTGTGCTATATAGAAGAAAAAAAATATAATTTACACAATGTCGGGTACAATATTAATTCCTCGATTAATACAGTGCAAGAAAGAAACGTCAAGTTTAAATTATAGAAACAATGCAAAAACATGCTTACCTAATACAATCAGTGTCAGGTTTTTGCTCGGTTCATTGGGTAGTTCAGTAGTTTAATAATAATAATAATAAAAGTGTTTAGTTTTTGCTGATAAATGAGATAAATTCCTAACACCCGTTTTTGTCCTTTCTGATTTATTATTTTCATTATTTGCAAAAACTAAACAAGGAAAACAAAACAAAGCATGTTGTTTATCACATTCGCACAACCACGAAGTTTTTTTATATTGTTCAATCTTAAAAGTATGTTTAAACTTTCTATTTTTTATGGCACATTCTTGAACAATGTTTATCTCCGATCGAGGTGAGTCATTCTTTTTTATAAGCACTCGATTCTCGAAATTATGTTTATTTGTTTTTATAAATTTCACCAAATACGATTCCATCGTACATAAACACTAGTAAATTCACACAGAACCTAAGACCAGTACAGCCAACCTCAAAACAACGAAAATTCGGTTCACGGAACACACAAATCCATAAAAAGTATAATTTGTAAAGGGATCTCGTATCTCACTGAGCGTATTCTCACTTTCTTCTTTTATATATCGATAAACAAGGATACAAATATATTCTGGTCCATATTTATAAACAGAACTCAGCTGAGTCGGAGTTGGATAAGTCGTCCTTGAACTAAAATCAAAGTTCGGTTACAACGTCTCTAAAGTTCCAAGTGATTCCGGTGTCACACTGGAATTTAGAGATGGATATTGGCAAATCTATAAGTTAAGTAGGTACATTTACGTTATTACTACTCATCTCTAAATTCGCGCTATGTAACCGAACCCCTGGGGGGCTATTTTCAAAGTCGAGAGAATTCATTTCTCTCGAGAGAAATGTCATACGTCAACGTAAAACAGTAATTTTTAGGGTCCTAAGAGCCAGTGTGAACTCACTGATTGTTTCTCACGGTTTATTTAGAGATAATTAATATCCTCCTAAGAATTTTAATCCGCGAGGCATTTAAAAACAGCGTTTCCACATTGACGTATGACATTTCTGATGAGAATCTTGAGAGAAATGAGTGCTCCCATACTTTGAAAATAGCCCCCCAGGTAGACGAAATGACAGTTTGTTTGATTTGGTAGTGTTGTCAGAATATGTTTTTGTTAAGTACCAGATTTGTCTAAAAAATGTACCAGATTCCTTAAATGTACCAAATTTTTCGAATTCTATTTGCAGTGACATCTAATTTATTGAAGAGAAAAAAAAGGGGATTTTTATAGATAACGAACCCAAACAAGGAACACAATATAGTTTACACGTGAACACTGCCTCAAGCAGAATGTACTGCATCTAGTACAATTGTGAATTGTACTAGACTGGCAACACTGGGTTGGCAACCTTGTTTGTGAGCGGCGCGCCAATTAATGTGTTCTTTTGACGTTTGAAGGATATGTTGGCGTATTGTTTTCTCTTTTTAACTTAATGCATTCACCAAATCGTCTCACTCATGTTAGGCTCACTCATCATAATGCGCCACAGACACAGTATACTTTGGTATTCTGTGCCACAGAGACGCGACCAGCCAGAGGGCAATGATGTACCAAAAAATATAGATTAACACGTATGAAAATAAAAATATTAAAGTTAAATTTATATTTTTATGTTATTTATGTAATTATAAAATAATGTGTTTTTATGAAATATAATTGGGTGTTCACTGCACAATTGAACCAATGGAGAAACCGCCCCTGATAGGATCTATTAAGTTTTCCATTGATAATCTACTTTCCAAAATGAGTTTTCCACCTTTTTAACATAATCAATGCATCTTCTTCAATGATTTTCATTTACATCTGAAACTGCCTTCAAAAATAAATTTCGCACATCAGGTAATTTAAATGTTGTATTGTTTCAGGAAACATAACCTTTTAATTGTGACCAGATCAATTAAGTAGGATTTAACTCTGCGTGGTCAGGAGGCAATCTGAAAATTTCAATTCCTTTTTCTCGGGCCATCTCGTCTATAATATATTTTTTGAATTTGTTAATATATTGTCTTGCTATTACGAGTAATTCTGCCTTCAAGGATTTAGGAGGACTGATAACATTTTTAGAGTGAAGCCATTTTGAAATATCTTCTTTTTTCTATCTTGTTGTAGTTAGTGATTCCTTTAATCAACTGCGATAGGATGCATTATCCAAAACAATTACGGAATTGGCTTGATTTTTTTTATAATGTTCTGAAACCAATTTTTAAATATAAGGCCATCCATTTCTTCGTGGTATTCTTTTGTTTTCTTTGACTCGAACATTATTAAACCATCTGGCAAAAAACCATCGGTGCTTCCAATGTGGGTTATTGTTAAATGATTTCCTTTTCCTGTTGGATTTTTTAATCCACAAGAGACCCCTTCCATAAAGGCTGTTTTTTAATTTTGATGGAAGTATCTTGCCAAATTTTCGTTACTGTATGTCCAGCATTAACCCATGTTTCATCTAAATAAAATACCTGTTTATGCTGATTCCTTGCGTCCGCTATTTTCCTTAAATAATATCTTCATGAAAATTTAATTCGTGTAATATTTTTGCAGATGAAAATATATATTTGGAAAAATAGAGTTATTTTCTATGTCTGAGTGTAATTTTTTTAAGTGTAGGAATTTCATTTTGTGAAAGAAAAAAGAATGTATCATTTGCCTTATTACATTCTTTACTCAAGTTTTAATAAAAGTCTGACTCATCAACAGATCAAAAATTAAGATAGTGAACTTTGGAAGTTACATAATGAAGGTATTACCTAAGCAAAGATTTATGAAAATTGTCTGTCTAACGGGGCGACAAAAGCTATTATTTTTTGAAATGTCACTGAGATCTTAAATACCGAAGGTGGTGTTAAAATTCTCCCTTTAAAATTAAGAAATACGTTTTTCGATTTTACCGAGTTAGAAGTTTAATAAGTTAAAAGTTTATTGAATTGAAATTTTAATGAGTTGAAAAGGGGATACGTTGCATTTCTTTATAATAATACCTATAGGTACAACGGGCTACTCGCGATTGTGAGATAATCCTCTACTATCTTATAAGATACTAGAGGATAATAATTGAAATTTCAATTTAAAGCATACATTTCTCAGGATAGCTGATGTTAAATGTTATATTACAAAACTGAATAAATTGGAATTTTTATGTTTAAAAATAAAGACAATTTTCTTCTGTATTTTGAAATTATATTTTATTTAATAACAACAATATTGCTGGAGTGTTTCTATAGAACCGACACCACTGGAAAAAAGAGTCTCTGATCGAAGATAAGAAAAGAAATTGATGTATTATTTAATCTATGAAAATGTCCATTACAATCAGTATATATTAAAGGCGCCCAATGATAATTCTTTGACGATAAATGATAAATTTCTATTTTCACTTTTCTTTATTGCGTTTAAATAAATAATCTTTTCAAACAAACATTTCAATATACTCAAAGCTGGAATTAAATTAAAAACAAACCAATTAAAATTATCATTTCAAATAGTCAATGTGGGATCATTAAAATAAAAGGTGGGGAAATTAATTAATTAAACAAAACTTTACCCTTTCAAACTTTTCAATATAGCAAGCATAATTGGAGTTGACTGTGAAATTTAAATTTTTGGGTTGGGAAACTGTACGTTTATGTCAAATTTGTCAAAACATTTATTATTTTAAAAATTAGCACCCAATTCAGAACAAAAAGAAAAAATTATCGAATGTCGAAGAAGTTTGGAGGGTTCCATTTTTTTGAAGGCACGTTATTGCAATGAGATACTCAGCCAATTCATAAATTAATTGGATGATGAAGAAGAACGACCAGAGAAACTTTTCAATTTTTTGATGACCGAATAATATGCTGGAACAGTGAAAGCCCATATACAACTAGGTCTTGCGATATAAACATTTAAATTAAAAGTTTCTGAGGACAATATGATTTTTTATAATTATAGCGTTTATTTAAGTTTATTTATTCTAACTTATATACATTAAATACACAACTTATTTAATAAAATTTATTTGTAATCAAAACTACACTTATTTATATTTACTTTAACAATTTATCTTTACTTTACAACATTTATTTCTAAGGTCCTACGTACTAAACAAAATCGCGCTGTTTATAAAAATCTAGCCCTGTTCGAGAAGATTATTGATGTTCTAGATGCTTTTCTTCTGAGAGTCATCACGTGTGAATCGGACCTTTCCAGTAACTTCTCGCAACCGACAGACTAGCTGTCGACATCACGAGAGGCTAGCACAACATTGCCCCCTCCTTAAGAGATAGTTCCTCTTGGAACTGAAACTAAATGGTTGTATCTACAATTAGGCTTTCTTTTACAATTTCCATTTGCGAAGTAACAAGTGATAATATTCGCTGTAACCTGGACATTCGGCTCTAGACCAGTCTTTGAACCTCTTGGAGGATTAAATCCACAATGTTTCGAATGATCTTTCAATTCAGCTGGTTGCTCTATATCTTTGATATGACTAATTTCTGTACATTGGACTCCAGTACGTGATCGCTCAGACTAAGTAATACTTTCCATACATTATCATTCGTGGATCAATCTCGGAAGGTGTTTATTGTTACCCGATACAAATGGTAACGTGATCTATCTTGAAGTTTAATGGTTTTTCCAGGAGCCGGTAACTATGGAGCACTGTGTATTTCTTTTGAACTTTGAGAAGATCTTATTGTTGCTCCCATAAATTCTTTAAAGACACGGTAAGGTGTTTCTTGAAGTTGGTTTACTTCTTCTTCGTCATGGTCATCCTCAACTGGCGCCAGCCAGTTTTGGTGTACTACCATAATCTTTACCAATTATATCTTCTCTAGGTTGGCATCTAAACTCGAGATCATACAGTAGTCTACTCACGCCTGAACAGGACCTTTGCTGGTATTTTGCCTGTTGATTCATTAACAACGGCTCTATAGACCATTGCGAAGAGCCAAATATACTGATCCCCATCTCTCTGATGGAATTAAACCACATTTGACAGGTATTTGTCCATAGTATTATTCATTCGCGCTACTACTCCGACTGCGGGTGCATCGCTGTAATTCTGGTTTTCTTCATTCCTAGTCAGATTCCTCGGAAGATCTTGCTTTTAAAATTTTGGCCTTGGTTACTGTAGACCTTGAAGGGCATTTCAAAACGACTGAAACTCTTTTATTATTATGTCTGCAACAGTGAAGGTCTCTTGATTTGGAATAGCATACACTTTCAATCACTTCGTGAAATAATCCATAACCAGCATCATGCATTTATTACTATTTCGGTCATGCAGAAATGCGGAATGGTCCAGCAATATCTAAGACAATCCTCTCAAATGAAATACCGATGTTGTTTTGCTTCCTTTTCCTTTGATGTTCATTACAATATAACTATGAAAGTGTCATATTAAAACT